ACATAACAGCAATTGTGATTTTTCCATGTTTTGAATTTGCTGATCTACATACCCTATATTTAATAATCACTTTATATTAATATTATAACAATGATAAAATTTTGTGTTTTTTAAAAGGAAAAGCAAAACTAAAAAACAAGAACAAACTGATTTTCTTTCTTAACCATTTTTCTAATTCCAATTGTCTTTCAAGCCTTTTTCTGAGGCTTTATATTGCAAATTTTTCCTTGTCAACTGCCTAGATTGTATCAAAAAACTCAACTCACACTTAGGTACTGCTTTACACTGGATGCTAATCATCCAGGGAGAGAAAAATGACAATACTCTCTCCTCTAATTTCTATTAAAAATGGAAAGAAATTGACATTTATTAAGCATCTACTATATACCAAGAACTGTGCAAGACATTTTCATCTATACTGGTTCTTTCATCTTCAAGACAGCTGTATCGGCTAAATATTATCCTCATTTTTCAGATGAGGAAATTGAGAATCAGAAAAAAATTAATTAACCTCTTCGAGGTTTCCTAAGTGGTCAGTGTCTGAATACAAACCCACATGTTCTGACTTAAAGTTCAGTGCTCACTAGAAATTGAATTTTCTCCTTTGGAAAATTACTTATTAGAGGTGATAGCATAACGATGTCACAGAGAAGTGAACTTAAAGAAAGGAGTGAGGTGGGATAGAAGGAAGTTTTAGAAAGGATGAACATGGGTAACTTAGGGAAGTGGGGGGATTTAGACATCAAACAAGTAGAAAAAAAGTTAAAGGTTCATATATCTAATAAATCTAACCGACTATTCCTGTTAGCTTCTTGATAGTGAAGTTAGACACGAATTCATCTCAGATGCCTTAGAGAGCCACAGAGAAGGTCTCTGCTAGTTGAGGTAGCAATCTTCTAAGAGTTTCTGAAGTTACAGACCTGGCTGAGTTAAAGCAGAGGCAAAGCTCCTTTTAAAGAAAAGAAACCCTACACCCTCCCTCTGGAGATGAGATGATTATCTGTTTGATGATAATACAACTCAGAAACCTAAACTTTAGAACCTGTCACTCTGTTTTTATATCACTAACAGCAAAGAGTTATTTCTTAAGCAATAAATAGAATGTTGCCCTTTTCGAGCTGAGGACCAGTATTTGAGGCAGACACCTAATAAGCATGCAGACTGTTCATTCCTTAGCTCCTCCACATTCTCTTCATGTATCAAATAAGTATATCAAAAAGTACATCTTAACTATATCTCAATTTCCACAAAATATCTTTAATAAAATAAGTTTTATTGTTATGAATTAAGTAGTTTAAAGGGTCAAAGGAAGTATCCATTTAAACAATGCTTCTGAGAAAACCTAAATAAACATAAAGAGATACCATGTTCATGGATAGGAAGGATTACTATCACAAAAATGCCAATTTTCCTCAAAGTCATTAATAACATAAATAATTCCAATAGAAAACCAAACCCCAGGAAAAATGCCAGATGACCCTTTAAATAAACTGAATGAAATGATTATGAAAAGTTAATGTTCAAGGTAATTCAGAGAACAAAAGAGCTTAGAAAGCAAGAAAAATTCTAGATTGAAACTGTGATTATTTCAAATAAAATAATAAGATTGGAAAATGATATATCTCAGAACACAGAGCAAAAAGACAAAACATGAAATATGAGAGAAAAGTTCAGAGATGAAAAGAATCAATATAAGAGTTCTGAAGTCTGAAAACCTGGCATATGAGAGAGAAAGCGAGAGAGTGAGACCAGAGAAAATGGAAGAAAAGAAAGGCATTGTAAAAGAAATAATTTAAAAAAGCATTTTTTTCCAGAAATAAAAAAGACTATAAACCTTCACATTGTGCCTGGCATAATAAATGAACAAAGATCCACACTAAGACTCAAATATCACTGTGAAATTTTACAATACCATAGATGAAGAAAAACTCTTATGGGTTCCCAAAGAGGAATGAGAATCAGATTGGCATTGGACATCTATTTTGTAAAACTAAATATCAGGAAACAATGCTGCAAGCCCTTCAAAGATCCAAGAGGAAATGATTTTCAATCTAGAATTCTACAGTTAGCCAAAGTGAGAAGGCACATAAAAGACATTTCCTATACTCAAAGATGAAGAAAGTTTGCTTTCCATATATCCTGGCTTACAAAGCTACTTGAGGATATTTCTCAGGAAAATAAGGGGCCAAAGTAAGAATGAAAATGGCAGGGAACCCAGGAAAAAGATCCAATACAGAAGAGCAGGGAAAGAAAGCTTCAAGATGACAGTTCTTTCTCAGGTCTAGAAAACAAATAGGCCAGATTGAAACAGAGGATAAAAGGTTTCAGGAGTAAGGTCTTCAGGATACAGAGGACTTAACAGAAGAGAAAGTGTGAATGAGAATTAGTAACACACTGAGGATTATTGTAAAGTGCAAAAATACACCAAGGGAAGAAAATTGAATAAGAAAGTCATCATTGAAATATAAAATGAACTGAACTGTCCAAACATAAAACAATGGCTGAAGTCTTAGAAAAGAGAAGTCATTTGAGGTTGATACTATGACTGTTCTCCTTGAATTGGCCGAAAGGTCATGAACATTCAGAGAAATTATTTTAGCACTACTTAGCCTGGAATTAAAGAATGCTTACAAAATCATAATAATGTAAATGTTGTTTTTTGGCCTCCAAACTTTAGAGTCAACCTATGAACAATAACCTGGTTATTGTTACAGGACTTCATAAAAACATTAATGCCTTGACAAAGTAAAATTTAAAATAGTTGACAGATAATATGGACAGGTGACAAACACAGAAGAAAGGGTGGGTATGTGCTAATGCTCATCACAAAGACTGAGAAGATACATAGAAAGTTGATGGACCAAACCTTAAAAATTAATATTTTCCAGTAAAACAAGGGGACAAACGAAGAATGAAGAAGGGATGGAATCCAGGAAAAATGGATCCAATGCAGATGAGCAGTGATTCAAAGTTATGAAAGTAGTTTATAGACAAATAATAATAAATAGTAAACATCTCTTTCATAACGGATATTTCAAGTCATATAAAGTTGAAAGACTTTATATTCAGGCAAAATAATGGCTAGGCCAATGTGAAAATGCTTCTGCTACGATAGAAATTAAATATAAATCATTGCAAAATGAGAAAAACAAAAGCATAGCTTATGTGCCTTTTGCAAACCATACATGATGTATTTATTATATTATGTAAGGTTCTTTATGTAATGACTTATGCAATAAATTACTCCTTGAATTCAGTCACAGGAAAATTGAAATCCAAAACTTTTTCCCTTGCCTTGGTCAGGATGCCTAGCAGATGCCAAAGCAAAACCACACAGGTGGAAAACTCCTACAACCAGTCTCCAAAGGATTTCCACAGAGGAAAAAAGCCCCATTGAAGATAAGTTCAAAAGAAAAAAGATGACAAAACATGTGAAGAAACCATCTTCCACATGCAAGAGACAGAGGAAACAACAAATAGAAGGATTAGCACCGCCAAGTACAGAAGTTAACAGAGCAAAAATGCCATCCAAAAAGGTATTCTTAAACAGTATGTTTAAAATTATTAAGAAATAAAAGAAAGGCTAGAAATCATAAAGCCCAAAATCCACACTCTGGTTTCTCTTCAGATCGTATAAATCTTTCACCTTTTGCTAAAGATTTCGGTGGAGAGAAACAATTCTGAGTTTTGTACCAATTTTTTGAGGCCTTGTTTTGGCAAGGCTCCACAAAAAAAAAAAAAAAAAAAAAAAGAACAAAATCCAAGGAAAATGATAAGGCAGATTTGAAATAACCAAATAGGACTTCTAAAACTGAAAAATACAGTCTTTTAAAAATGAAAAATTCAATGGATAGGTAAGCAATTTCTGAGAGACACAGGGGAAGAGATGATTGGGAGCTTTACGGCACCTCTCAGCAAACTGACCCGCAGGTGAGCAGAAGAGGAGTGAGAGACTACTCGTCGTTACAGGTGCTGGACTATTTGAACTGTTGTTTAGTGCATTTATTACTTTGAAACATCATTTTAAAACTAAGAAAGTGTATGTGTGCTTTACAAAACCTAATTGAAGACAGTATTCTATGTCATTTAATGCTCTGTATATAAGGACTCATGCAAGAAATTACTTTTTGAATTCATATACAATAAAACGGAAATCCAAAGCTGCTCTCTTTTTGCCTGAGTTGTAGGAATTCAAGAATAATTTCAGTGTACAACAGTAGCTCATTCATAAACATATTTTATTCCTCATTTTAATTGTTATTCTTATTTAATTTTTACTTTGTGCATTTTACATATGTTTAGTTTTAAAGTCCCTTTCTTTTTGAAAGATAGTGGGAGTGAATCTATAAAATTCTTACTACATAAGATATCAAAACATATAGATTTGTTACCTGCCAAAAGGGATTAATCTAACTTAGGTGTTCATATTGATTTAAATCTTTCTCGGAATTGTGTATATTCTTTAAAATTTCTTAATGAGCTATTCATAAATAGGTGTTAGAATCAATTTACCTTTTATAAAATCTCTTAACTGTGGAGCTGCTTCAGTTGCGACAAGGCAGAGGCAGAGGAAAGAATGCCTGGCCCACTAGCCCAGGGGCTCTTGAGGGCTCCCTGAGCACAGCTGGAAAACTGCTACTACAGTGATTCTCAGTTATCCCATTAATAAGAAGTCTGATTGTTCTGACCACAAGACATGAGTCAAAACACTACCACAGAAAATTCCTAAGAGGAAACATTCTTTTTTTTATTGTTACCTTTATAAACCCAGACTTATATGGGGAATTCAGCAATAATAAAGGAAATGAGAAAAAGTTAGGTAAAACTCTTAAGATATTATTTTAGTAATAATAGCATTTTTGCTGCTTCTCCTTAAAGCCAAATAAAACAAGGCAATATAAGCTTAACCACTGAAAATTAATCCAGTAATAGTTTAAAAATTGCCCTAAATCTTAAAAACAATTAGATAAAAATCAAGTTATCAAATTTTATTTTCTTACATTGTAGAGACAAGGCAAATGTTAACATCTTGTGTACTGTTGAACTCTTTCACGATCTTGATTCTTTCCTCTGATTTTGTACTTCCATCAAGTCGTCGGTAATCAAGCCCAGATGCCATACAGTATTGCTGTAGTACGTCAAGCAGCTGAGGAGAGGTATGGAGATAGGCAAACATGAATTCTTGCTTTATTAAGTTTCATGCCACTACAGAGATTAGATTTACTGAGTATTAATTACTGGTGCTCACAACTTCTTTCTTATCATTTCAAGAGCAATAAATATTTTTCTCACTTCTGATCCATATATTTCTGTTATCCTGAAACTGGCTTTAATGTTCAGGTACCTTTGTTATAAAAAAAAATCAATCTTCTCATTTTTTTAAACTGAAGCCAAGTAAAAAGAAAATTACTAGTCAAATCATTTACATAAATATATTGTCATTACTTGTGCTATTTTCTAATTTCTAAAATATCTTAAATCTCTTAAAGAACACTTTATTAGCAATAACATCTACAGAAAATAAAAATCTAACTTTGAGTTTGCTATTTAACAGTAACCCTGACATAACTGAAATTTAAGTGTCTATTTGAAAACTTGTAAGTTGCTCACCTGACTACCATTTCCTACTGTGTGGTTAAGGCAGAAAATGTGGCTGTAAGCTGTCATGTTCCTTATGTTTTATGCCTCAGGAGTTAGGGATGGGCGAATCAAGAATATCCTATAGATGAAACTCACCTTGGTGGAAAAAGAGAAGAGAAGAACTTTATCTCTGTTTTTCCTGCAATGATTTAAAAGCTGCTGAAGGACCTGAAAATGAACCGTACAGTATCAGTGAACCAGTTCCAACTAAAAGTACACTTTATACATATAAACATCACTTGAGAATTTCTTTAAAATTGTTTTTATACAATATTAACCTCAGTCATCTTTTCTAATTCCCTTTATTTTTTCCAAGTTGGAGAAATAAAGTATTAGATATTACATCAAATGTTATTCATCACCATATTGTCAATAAGGAGGTAAAGTTCCCACAGACTTTTATTTCATCTCATCTGGTTTTAATAAAAAGGAAGCATTTTACATTATGGGATGCATTTAAATGGATTAATTTAATTTCCAAAATACACTTTCTTTATACCTACAATATGTTAAGAAACTAAATTATAGAGCAGCATTCCTTTTAGGAAGTATTTAAATTGTCTGTAGATGGATGTCATGAAATGTGTTCAATTACATCTAGGTTCTAAAAGTCTTGATATTTATTTTCTTAGAATAATCAGTCAGATATACACCTCGTCTCATTTTCTCCCCTTTGTTTCTCTATTTACAGTAAGCTCTGACTTCCAGATTTGATTTTGACCTCAAAATGCCAATAATCTGCCCCCACACAAGGTGGTTATAGGGAGGAAGCAGACAGTCCAAAGCTTTGTGTATAATAGTAACACTATTATTTTTATTTCCACATCTGCCAATGTGGAACACTGTGGAAAAGCAATCCGCAGAGGAGCAAAGGAATCTTCCGTACTAAGTCTAAAGTTTTTCTAAACTGTGAGATAAATAATTAAGCAATTTTATCTATTCAATGATAAATATTTAAGCTTTTAAATAAAAAATTTTATATCCAACATAACACTCTCTTAATAGTTGAGGAACAGAAGGCATTGTGCTAACTCTGACTCCTATTCCCAAGTCCCTCAGAAAAAGCTATGGAGAAAAAAAAATCTACTCAGACAAGCAATCAAATGGTGAATCAAAATGTCACAGATCAGGTAAACATTATTTTAACATCTGGAGGACATATAAAGTAAGTTTTATATGCATTTAGCTTCACTTTTTTGTTTGTTTGTTTTGTTAGAGATAGGGTTTTGCTCTGTTGCCCAGGCTGGAGTGCAGTGGTGTAATCACTGTAACCTTGAACTCCTGGGCTCAAGTGATCCTCCTGCCTCAGCCTCCTAAGTAGCTTGGATTACAGGTGTGTGCCACTACACCCAACTGATTTTTAACTTTTTTGTAGAGATGGGGTCTCACTATGTTGCCCAGGCTGGTTTCAAGCTTCTGCTGGCTTCCCAAAGTGCTGGGATTACAGGCATGAGCCACTGTGTCTGGCCCATTTAGCTTTATTTTTTAATAAAATAACCAATTCTATATAAAGTATGAACATTTGAATCCCACATAACACATTAACTTTTTAATGATATCTTATTTTTAGTTTTATAAAAAAAATTGAGAAGAAAGTACAGACGACTCCCATATACTTCCTCTCCGCCTCCCAGTTCCATGCCCCCACACTTTCTCTTACTAATATAGATATTAACATTAATATTATCAGAAAATATATCATTAATAATAATTATTAATATTGATGTGGTATATTTGTAACAATTGACGAATGAATATTGATACATTATTATTAACTAAAGTCCACAATTTACATTAGGTTCACTCATAGTCTTGTACAGTTCTATGGGTATAAGGACACGTATCCCACCATTACAATATTGTACAGAATAGTTGCATTGTCCTAATTCTCAGTGCTTTGCCAATTCATCCTTCCTTCCCCTAGAGCTCCTGGGAACCACTGATCTTTTTACTGTCTCCATAGTTTTGCCTCTTCCAGAGTGTCATATGGTTGGAATCATATATTAATAATAGTATATAGCCTTTTCAGACTGACTTCTTCTACTTAGCAATATGCATTCCTCCATGTCTTTTTATAGCTTGATAGTTCATTTCCTTTTATTGCTAAATAATACTTCATTGTATGGCTACACCACAGTTTGCTTATCCAGTTACCTATTGAAGGACATCTTGTTGCTTCCAAGCTTTGGCAATTATGAATAAATTCATGTAAGATTTCTGTGTGGATGTTAAATTTTTAACTCATTAAAAAGTCATTAAAATTTAACCCATTTTAACTCATTTGCGTAAATACCAAGGAGTGCGATTGCCGGACTGTACGGTAAGAGTATTTAAGGTAATACTTTTTATATTTAAATATTTAATATTTAAGAGCTTTGTGAAAACCACTAAACTATCCTCCAAAGTGGCTGTACCATTTTGCATTTCCACCAGCAATGAATGAAAGTTCCTGTTGCTCTACAACCTCACCAGCATTTGGGGTTGTCAGTGTTCTGGATTTTGGCCATTCTGATAGGTGTGTAGTGGTATCTCATTGTTGTTTTAATTTGCAATTCCTTAATGACATATGATGTTGAGCATCTTTTCATATGCTTATTTGCCACCTGTATATCTTCTTTGGTGAGGTATCTCTGTTCAGATCTTTTGCCTATTTTTAAATTGGACTGTTTTCTTATTGTTGAATTTTAAGAGTTCTTTGTATATTTTGAATACCAGTCCTTTATTGTTTTGCAAATATTTTCTCCAAGTGTGTGGCTTGTCTTCTCATTCTCTTAAAGATATTAACATCTTATTTATTTATATCTTTTAAATATTTTATTCACAATTTATTCATATCTTCATTTTAGAAAATAATTTAATGTGGCTTATAACCACTTTCTATTGAAGAAAATACAGTCGCTATGCTTTTTTTCTTTACAATTTTTTAATTATTTCAATAGATTTTAACAGTTAAGTGAGTACAAGTGGTTTTTTTGTTACATGTTGTTTTTTGAATAACTAAGTGCAAGTGGTTTTTTGTTACATGGATGAATCGTATAGTGGTGAAGTTAGGACTTTTAGTGTACCTGTCACCCAAATAGTGTACATTGTACCCAACAGGTTGTTTGTGATCCCTCACCCTCCTCTCACCTGCTCCCCATTTCTGTGTCAATATTTTAAATGAAGGATATATTGTGTACAAATCCATTCTCATTGTTTGAGGCGGTATCATACCTACTGCAATTTTAGGTATTTTCAAATAATTTACAGAAAGTAATAAGAAAAGTGAATGTTTTTAGACTAGAGGTCTTTATTAGGTTAGTTTAAAGAAACTAACTAAATGAATAACTATAAATCAAGATCCCTTACCATAAATTTCAAAAATGACACTGTATTTAATATATGTCAGACCCTTAACAATACAGACCCAATGTCTTATCACTCAATTGTCCTCCACAGAACAGGACAATCCACCTGTAAAGGAATCCTGGCCAGGTACGGTGGCTCACACCTATAATCCTAGCATTCTGGGAGGCCAGGGCAGGAGGATTGCTTGAGGTCAGGAGTTTGAGACCAGCCTGAACAAGAGCAATACCCTGTCTCTATAAAAAGTAGAAAAATTAGCCAGGCGTGGTGGTGTACACCTGTAGTCTCAGCTACTTGGGAGGCTGAGACAAGAGGATGGCTTGAGCCCAGGAGTTTGAGGTTGCTGTGAGCCACGATGACGCCACTGCACTCTAGCTGGAGCAACAGAGAGAGATTCTGTTGAATTAAGAAAAAAAAAAGGAATCCTAAAGTTCAGGGTGTTCACAGCGAAGAATCTTGGGTCTAATTTTTCTCAACTTAGAAAGGCCTAGAAAGATGAACATGACCCTTGTGTAAGCCTAGTGGCACCAAGCCAGGTTTCCTACTCTTTTTTTGGTGCCCCTCACAGTAAGTGGCTCTGTGGCATTTTTCAAGGGAAAGAAAAGTGAGGATTCTTATCAGGTGAATGAGTGCCACTTGTGACCACCCCTTTGAATGGTAGTTGAGGTCAAAAACCTTAACATTCAAGAGAAAGAGCTAGGGTCATGAGTGTAGCTTTGAGGCTATAAAGACTACAGCAGGCATTACATTCACAGAGTCCTTGCAGCTGTAGGCTGATCTATGACAAGGAGGACAAAGATCTTTTATCACCTGAATTCAAAAAGTACATGCAATGCAATTACTTGGAGTTCTTAACCCCATAGGCAATAATCCTATGAGATAGGTTTTGCATCACCAGATCAGTATCAGCAGATGATGTGGCTAATCAAATGATGAAACACAGTCTTAAACATATATCCCTAGTTTATTACTATCAGCCTCTGTTTTGTTTGTGCTTTCTCATAAAACAAGTAAATTACCTGCTTCCTTCACATGTAAAGATACCTACTCAGCCTTCAGCAACAACTTCTGCTTGCTTTTTCCCATCTAAACATCAGAATAAAATTAAATCTAATAATTATCTTAATCAGACACTGTTATTCCTATGTATATAACTCTTATAATTAAAAGTCTATTTTAAAAATATATCTTTAATGGATATATAAAAAATATAAAACACAGAGTTATAAAACTATTTAGCTTCAATAGTGGTAATTTTTTAAATGAAGAGTCCACAAAGAATAAAATTTAAACAAACAGCAGTGGATAATGCAGTTTTGAAAGGAAGCCATGATTTCTGGAAATATTCTATTGGCTTAACTTATGGAATAATAGCTGCTCAGTTTTAAATTAATTGGGTTTTTTATGTTTTTTAGTTTAAAAATAATTAAAGTCAATGAAATAGAAGACAAAAATAGGTTATTATTAGATTTAAATTATTTATTGTGATAATAAATGATATGATAGTCTCATTAACATAATTTATTTTAAAAAACATACAAGTTTTTAATATAATCATCTTTACTATATATATTCCTACCTTCTATTTTGTATCATTGAATTTAGAGGTCCCAAGCAAACTAAACCACAATGAGTTTATCTAGATTAATTGCTAAAAGTATTTTCAGAATTTTAAGAAAAAACAAAAACTGACTCCTCTGAATTACTTCTTTTTTATTCCTTTTGTCAAAAGAAATAACTTACCTTTTTCTTAATTATAACATAAAGTTGAGAATTGTTCTGTAAAAATCTATGAATCTCAAAATAAAGATTCTTGATAGTTACTAAGGGGCTAAACAAACTAATTCTGTTGCAAGAAGGCTGGAAGCTGTCAGCATTTCAGGCTGCTGTCACAGGCAATGCCCAGAGGCTTGGGTCAAGGTGGGAGAACCTAGCCTTACTTTTCACACTCCTCCCTCATAATACATCACCAAGAGCAGCACAGCTACAGGACAGTTTCCCTTTGTGTAACAAATGTTCCCTTGCAACCTTACAATCAAGGTCTGCAAGCAAAATTAAGAGGCAGAAAATCCAGTCTAGGCATAGAGGTCTTGCCTACCTTGAACTCTTCAAGAAGTTCCTTTCTCTAATTCCAAGCTAACGCCTATCCTCACCTACCTGTTTTGCGTTAGCATTTAAATTTCTTGTAGGTTATTTCCTTATACATTTGAGGAGAAGCTATTAGATATGTGACAACAACATACAATTTAAAATGGCATAAATCTAACATATCAATAAGGAAATCTGAAGTATATTTGATGGAACTGCTACTGAGAACCTACTATGTGCACACATCTGTATGCAGGATTAACAGTAAGCTAATAAAGGCTGACACAGCTACACCAGTTGTCTATAGCCACTGTGTCTCCTGAGTGATTGAGTACTTGCTCAGATTATTTGGTGTCCCTGCCATAGCACTGAACAAATATTTTGTGTACCATCCCTCTGTGTATGCAACCTGAAAGAAGAGCCCTTACCTTCATTTTTCCACTGTATTTAGGGTCAGAAAGTGTTTCAAAGGCTGCATCTTTGCTTTTCTGCACAAAATCTGGGAATCTGGAAAATACCTGATCACATATCCTTTTGATAAGTGTTTCCTTGAGGGGGAAAAAGTAAAAGGAAAAATATTTCAACTTAACACATTTAAACCTGTATAAATTGAAATTGTTTATGAAAAAAAATTTCAATTGAGAAGGAATATATTACTTTGAAGATTTTACCTTCTCCAAGTCAGACTAATTCAGAAAATCTTAAAGTGATATGTTAAACATATATGGCTTTGATGAATTCTTAATGATATGGCTACTAACTTTATCATTTTTTATGATTTCTAAAACAAGGAGGAGCCAAATACTTCCAAAGGAGTAAACAGTACTACCAAAGAAGAATATTAACACATTGAAATGCCTTATGACTTGTATTTAACTCAGGCTAGTTTTGAGCCTGTGGCCGCATGAAGCAAAACCCTCAGCTGGTTTGTGAAAATCTTACTTGTTGATATTCTTATTGTTACAATTAATATTGACAATTTAATTCTAAAAATGTGGATTGCATTGTATATAACTCATGCATATAAAACAATAAAAAATAACAAATTAGAAAGGATAGTTTTGTTTTAATAAAACACCGTGGCCCCAGGAAAAAATTTTTTTTCTAGTATGACAGTCAATGTGTTAAATTGTTATGAGATTTCAAAATTATACTTAAACAGCATCAACTATAACACAAAAAATATATAAAATCATTACATAAGTGGCTATTAAAAAGATCTTTTCATTTCTGTTATGCTCTAGAATAAGACACAAGTGAAATGACCAAAGTAAATGATTGTGTTTAAGCCCAAACTTTGAAATTACTGATTTTTGTCAGTTTGGGAAACAACCTTAATATTTAATATACAGATTATTATAAACCCTCATTTTATCCAGTAGATTATTAGAGGAATAGGGCTGACTCATCAAGCATCTTATTTAGTAATTATACCAAAGAATGTTTGGAAAAATAAATACATGAACATTATTAGAGGCATAAAAAGTTATTATTTTAATTTAAGCTTACATTTTCTTACTTTGTGAGATTTTTCTTTTAAACTTAAGTGCACATACTCCTTAATACTTAAATCAAAAAATAAGCAAGTCAGTTTCCTCCAAAATTTCATACAAAAAAACTTAAGGATATTTAGCTAAGCAATTTTATACCAAATATAAAATATTTATACTAATAGCATCATAAAGAAATGTAAAAATCCAACCCAAACCTGTTGTTTGGAGGTGCTAGCAGACTGCAATAGTGCGACATGGTTAGCTACCTTCTGAAGGACCGTAAGGTAACTGAGATACAAGGTTTTCACTGTTTCACCACGTGAATTGGTCTGTAACCAGAGAAATATAGAAAATAAAAACAAGAAAGGACTAGCATGGCTATGTAACTGCTTACATCATAAAATATATCACTTATAATGATATTTATTATGTGCTTACTTTTGGCACAAATTCTAAGAAAATGATGGTCAACTATTTATATGAAATATCCACAAATCACTAATGTGGAATCACAATTTTGGTGAATCATAATACAATGATGTTTTTAATAAAAGAAGGGAGAAAGTCTTCATTACAGAAAGTATTTATCCTCATGATACATGGTGATAGAAATACTGCCATTAAGGGGTCCCTGGCAAAAAAAAAAACTCTACAGTACTACGTGGATCCCTTTTCTCTCATCTCCCATTTATACTCCAAGATTCCCCAGGAAACTGGGCTATAACAAAAAAGGGAAGTGGTTAAAAATAGCAAAATAAATGAGACAGAATAAATGTCAATCTAGGACAGGTGCAGTGGCTCATGCCTATAATTCCAGCACTTTGGAAGGCTGAGGCAGGAGGATCATTTGAGGCCAGGAGTTCAAGACCAGCCTAGGCAACACAGGGAGACCCCCATCTCTACCAAAATAATAATAATAATAATAAGCAGGCATGGAAGAATGTGCCTATAGTCTCAGCTAGTTTGGAGGCTAAGGCAGGAGGATCACTTGAGCCCAGGAGTTTGGGGCTGCAATGAGCTATGATCACATTGCTGCACTCCAGCCTGGGTGACAGAGTGAGACCCTGTTTCTAAAATATAAATTTTTAAATAAAATAAAATAAAAAATATCAATTTAGATAAATATTTAGTTGAGGTCTCTTTATGTACACAGATATGTGACAGATAACTTCTTATGAAGAGGTGAAAAATGAGCAGAAATATAGACAGAAGGTAAAAAAGTACAAATAATTTCTAAAAAAAAAACTTTAGTTTACTAATAACAGACTTTCTATTACATTGATACCGTACTTAACATCAGAATAATATTTAAGTCTGCTATAAAAGAGTACATTAGTTTACTGTTAGTGGATAATGAGAAACTTCCTGAAAGTGAAATGAAATTTTAAGATCAAAGTAAGATATTTCCCACTAAAAACTGAAAAGAAGGATATCACATTGAAGCTTACTTTCTAAAATTAACTTTTTGAAAATACATTTGAATATTGTATTTTGTATGTGATTACTATTTTTTTTAGACTAGTCAAGTGCAGTAGTGAGAAGGGGGAAAGAGTAGAACAAGGAGTTCGATCTGTAACTACCTGTGAACAATCAAGAGATAACTCACTACCTTTGGACCAGCCAACTATTTCTTTTTTAAAAACTTAAAGCTGTGAAAGTTAAAGAACTGTCTGAGGAAAAGTTATCTTATCTGCTACTTATTTTGACATTAGAACAGAGTACTATATAATCAAAAGCAAGACAGTAAAGATATCATACTGAAATGCTTGCCTTATAACAACAATTTCTCCTTTTTCGGCCACTGTTACAGGTACAAGGGTGAGAAGATTGAAGTATCAAAGTCACATCTTCTGTTTCTAGCACTGTTTGATAGACAGCTTTCTGGAAATCTGTCAGAGAACAATACACCATCTGCCAAGATAATATAAGGTAATTATTAGTATCTTTTTAATAGCAATAATAATAATAACAATGCACATCTGATTTCAGATTGTAATAGGGAAAACTGCTCACAAACTAATTTTTTCCTCTAGTTACATCATTATGATAATTTCTCCCAATTCTCCCAATCACCCTAGAGAATATAAATTATAATTTCATTTTCAAATAAACCCCAGTTATTTTAATTAAAAGAAATCATAATACAGAAAAACAAATGTGATTTCCTTACACAGTTGATCCTTAAACAATGAGGGTTTGAGGCACCACTCCCCCATATAGTCAAAAATTCACATATAACTTTTGACTCCCCCAAAACTTAACTACTAATGGCCTATTACTGACTGGAAACCTTACCAATAACAAATAGTTGATTAACAAATAGTTGCAATAGGTTACTACAAGGCTATAGTAACCAAAACAGCACAGTACTGGCATAAGAACAGAGATATAGACCTTTGGAATAGGACGGAGATCCCACATATAAAACCATCCTCATATTGTCATTTACTCTTCAACAAAGCAGACAAAAATATGCATTGGGGAAAAGAATCTCTATTCAACAAGTGGTGCTGGGAAAACTGGATATCCACATGCAGAAGAATGTATACTATATTCTTACAATAAACTAAGGTAGAGAAAAGAAAATGTTGTTAAAAAAACCATAAGGAATAGAAAATACATTTACTATTCATTAAGAAGAAGTGGGTCGCCATAAAGGTCTTCATCCTCACTGTCTTCACGTTGAGTAGGCTGAGGAGGAGAAGGAAAAGGAGGGCTTGATCTTGCTGGTGGGGTGCAGAGGTGAAGAGGTGGATAAGGCAGAAGAGGAGGCAAGAGAGGCAGGCACACTTGGTGTAATTATATAAACATGTTGTAATTTCTATCTCACTTTTGCTTTTTCATTTCTCTAAAAATGCTTCTATATGGTACCGATCCTTCTTTCACCATTTGCTTTAGTCTCAGTGCCCATATCATAGAAGGGTCCATGTCATAAAAGAAGTTCGAAGCAGTCTTGAATAATCTGAACCCTTCTGCCAGACTGACTAATGTCAACTCGTTTTCTGTCACTCCTTCTTCTCCATCTGCCTCCTCACTGTCTGGCACTGGTTTGGAAGCACTCATCTCCATCAAGTCTTCTGTTAATTCCTCTGCTATGGTGTCTTAAATTTCTTTGAATTAGCTCTTGAATTTCTCCAAGATCTGTATCTTGAAACCCTTTACATCTCATTTTTTTTTTGTTTGCCATATCCAAAATCTCCTTCATGATTTCCTTGATTGGCTCTCTCATAAATCCTGTAAAGTCATGCACAACACGTGGACATAGTTTTTTCCGGCAGGAATTTATTTGTTTCAGGCTTGATGGCTTTCACAGCTTTTTCTATAACAATGACGGCATCTTCCACAGTGTAATCCTTCCAGACTTTCATGAAGTTCTCTCTATCAGAGTTCTCTTTCAAAGCATTTACAATCCTTTCCATAGAGAATCATGTGTAATGAGCCTTAGAGGTCCTTATGACCCTCAGATCTAGAGACTGAATTAGAGATACCATGTTTGGGGGCAAGTAGACCACTTTGATGCCTTCATAGTTGAACTCATGGGATTCTGGGTGACCAAGGGCATGGTCCAATATCAAAAGAACTTAAAAGGTTAGTCTTTTATGGCAAGGTACTTCCTGACTTCAGGAACAAAGCATCAATGTAATCAACCCAGAAAAAGAGTTCTAGTTGGCCAGGTCTTCTTCTTGTATAGCCAAAAAATTGGCATCTGGTATTTTTCTTTTTCCTTCAAGGCTTGTGGGTTAGCAGCCTTATAGATAAGGTTATAGGTAAGGGCAGTCTGATCATAAGCCCGACTGTATTTGCACAAAACAGTAGGGTTAGCCTACCCCTTCCTGCCTTAAATCTTGGTGCTCGCTTTTCTTCCTTACTAATAAATGTCTTTTGTGGCTTTTTTTTTTTTTTCCAGAATAGGGTACTTTCATCTGCATTAAAACCTGTTTGGATTTTTAATCCTTTCTCCTGAATGATTTTCTTAATGGCATCTGGGAACTTGTCTGCTGCCTCTTGGTCAGCAGAAGCTGCTTTGCATATTATCTTGACTTTCAAAGCCAAACACCACTTTCCAAAATTTCTAAAATTATCAAACCATCCTTTGCTGGCATTTAAATTCTCTAGCTTTAGATCCTTCACCTCTCTTTTGCTTTAAGTTGTCATATGGCTTTGCTTTTTTTCTAAATCATATTAGAGTCTATAGGTATGCCTTTCTCACAGCAATCCTGTACCCACATAAAAGCCACATTTTCGATATGATATAAAAAGGTATTTCACAAAAAATGCAAGGTTTTTGTGCCTGTTAGCATAGTTGCAGTGATGGCTTCACAAATTTCCTTTTCTTTTTTTACAATGGTCGTTACACTGGATTCATTTATTTTAAGACAGCAGGCTACCTCAGATACAGACTTCAATCTATGGTATGTATCAAACAATTCAACTCTTTCTTGTAACATTATAACTTTTCTCTGCTTCTTGGAAGCACTTCTAGCCTCACTAGTGGCATTTCATACAGGTCCTCTGGTATCACCCAAGGTTTATGGTATTGCACTAAACACAGGGAAAAATTCCCAAGAACCATGACAGATCACATTTTTACTGTGATATGCAATTTATTAGAGAGAGGAACTACTCAAACAGAGATGATTAGTATTACATGGCACTTTAAGCAGATACTCGCAACACTTTAGCTCACTGCAACAGCAACAGGAGGTGGCTACAAAATTATCAGTATGTATTACGTTTAATTTTATGCAGTTATGATTTAATACTGCATCTTTACATTTGTTTACATTTCTCTTGATTGCAAATGGCACCATGTAAAGTCTGTAAAAGTGTGTATAAGTTCTGATAAATTTTAACTTTGCATAACAGATTTGTACATATTTTATTGTAGTATGATAAAATAGATTATATCTATATATATTTTATGCATTCTTGACATACCTAACTTTTCCTTAATTTTTTCAAAATTTCCAGGCTATGTGGTTTGTGAATTTTTTCAAATTGTCACAAATCTCCAAATTTTTCCAATATATTTATTGAAAAACATCTGCATGGAGTGGACTCCTGCAGTTCAGACCGATGTTGTTCAAGGGTCAATTGTATATTTCTCAATATATTGTGGGTCTTCTCAGGGTTCTATATTAGCCCGCCATACAAATAAATTACAGTCAAGCATTCCTTAGTGACAAGGATATGGTCTGAGAAATGCATCATTAGGTAATTTTGGGTGATTTTGTTGTTGCGTGAACATCATAGAGTATACTTAACCTAGATGGTAAAGGCTACTACACACCCAAGTTATATGGTACAGCCTATTGTTCCTAGTCTATAAACCTGTACAATATGTGACTGTGCTGAATACTATAGGCAATTGTAACACAATAGTATTTGTGTATCTAAACAGAAAAAGTACAGTAAAAATATGGTATTATAATCTTATGTGACCACCATTGTATATGTAGTCTGTTGTTGACTAAAACATCATCATGTGGTATATAATTAAACTTTAGGCCAAACAACAAACTTGATAAGGAAAAAAAGGAAGATTTCACAACAATGATATGAATGATAAATGCTTGCTGAAATACTTGGAAAACTTAGAAAAGAATCAAAAACTTCATATAACTGAAAACTGAAAATACAGTATTTGTATTTCATATCTTGTATAAAGTTCTAACATTAGTAAATTAGCTAAATCACATAAAAGCAAATACAAGTTGTTATTTTGTGTCCAAATTCAAGAAAAGAAAATATGAAAAACAATATTTTCCACTAAGTTATAAAAGACACGATTTACCTTTATATTCTTGATAGCACTGAAAATCAATAAAATTCTTCTATATCCAGCTGCATATAGCTAGGGTTAAACTAACTATGCTCATAATAGGGCTTTGAGAAATGTGAACAAGAGGGAAAACCATCTATCTATACATATTTATATGTGTATATCGCTACAACAGAATATTATTGCCAACAAATGGGCAAATGTGCACCTGAGCAAATATAGGGGTTTCTGTATAAAACAATGCTAGATTTTAAAAAATGTAAATATACAATATTAAGTCCAATAAAAGAAGACCATTACATTTTGTTTTTTTAAATGCCCTCTTAAGGTCAACTCCTCACATTTTTTAAACAATTAACAGTGTAAGTTTCCTACAAATTCTAAAAATTGTTAGTCATGTAACTGCAAATAGCATTTTATGAGAAATAAGTCTATTTTTAAAAGCTCTTAACTACTTTGGTCCTACAGCTATAATTAAGGTACCAAATAATATATTAGGTGGTAGATAGTAGAATAGAAAGAACAAAGTGTAAATAGAAAACATATTGGGGAGAGAAGCACTTCCTTCTTCATTGAGGAAGAATTATATCAAAAGTCTTGATGAGAAATGAGTTTAATATAGACTAACAATAAACCTGTTAGCTAACAGGTTAGTAAAGTTAGTAAGGAAAACAACTGGGCTTCATTAATGTTTTCTGAAATTCCGTATGTAACAATTTTTTTTCTACAAAGTAAAACGAAAGAAACTATACTGACAAAATACCACAGGAGGTAGACTTCCTCTTATAAAGAAAAAAATAAAACATGACAAGAAATTAATAGTATACACAAATGCAATTCTCACCCGGTCTTCCTTCTTAGGCAACTGATCCTTGATAAGAGTCTTGGTACGCCTGAGAAACCAGCCAGACATCTTCTTTGCAAGCCTTCGCATGGCCTTTCGGCCAGTGGCTAGTTCTCTTTTCGTTGCTGTGTGTCTCTGACCGTGTTCTACTGGGTCAGAAAATTGCTTCTTGAAGTGAGTCCTGCTACCTAAAAGTCCTGGCACAGCCCTTTATAAAGGCAATAAGAAAAATGTGAGGGCTTTATTAAGTTATCTACAAAGAAAAACATTGACTTCTTTTTGCTTCTAAGAGATATATCAAGTCACTTGCTTATTAATGGCAACAAAAACAAAAGCAAAGAAAATAGAATGTTCTTTATGACCGTTTCAGTTTATAACTATAAGAAGATGATGGAATTGGTAACTAAATGTATATATTTATTTACTTTAGGGACCAAGAGAAATATACACAAATAGGTTTTTATGGAACTCTACTCTGTATACCATGCTTCAGATCAAACATCTAAAAACAGACAAATGATTGTTTCAGAAACTAATGATGAGCAAACAAGGCAGCATTAAGCTAAAGAAGTATTAAATAATTTTTTTTAAAAAGTGTTTTCACTCACCAGTCCATAACACACCACAGTTCTTTCATGTTGTTCTGAAGAATGGTTCCAGTGAGGCCAACGCGGACATTACATTTTAAAGCTTTCATAACTTCTGTTACTCTAGCCTTTGGATTCTTGATTCTGTGAGCTTCATCCACAATGACAGCTGACCATTCCAAACTATAAAGAAAGAAAAAAGGGGGAAAGACTAAGAAAACTTCTCTTTCTTAGTCTACAGAATTTTTAAAGAGCAGCTTTCTCTACCAAACTTTGCAGGTTTTTTTTCCCCTTAACTCTTTGACAATTTCTTTAGATTCTTACCTAGTTAGTTTTAAAATAGTCACAGGTTTGGACAGCTCCCAGAAATAAAATGTGTATGGAGAAGACAAAAGGGTACAGACATTCTGTTTGATGATAGGAATAGGAAAAATCTCATTTAAACATCACTACAACGACAATAAGGAATTTTTAAAAAAATAACAAATCAGAAAAAAATATAAAATAAAAGAAGCAAAACTTGCAATGTTAAAAATGAATGAAAAATATCAATATAAACTCATGATTTTTAGAAGTTATAATGCATAGACCTGTCTGTTAGAAAAGGTTTAGAATTGATTATTGCCCCCGTAGCAAGGAGATCCCATAGTGGTCTATCCACTAAAAGGAACCAGCGCCCCATGGAAAAAATGGAGAAATAGTTGATGTCAGACAGGGGAAATACTGAAGAACCAGAAAGCACCGATGTATCCAAAGACAAATGGGGACATGTCCAAAGGATATAGGAGCCAGCCTAATTATAATATTTGAGCGTCATTAAGAATAATGACTATAATTGAGTATAAAACATTTAATAAGTACAAAGAGTTACAGACTCTTACTTCACACCATACATAAAAATTAACTCAAAATACATCAGAGACCTAAATATGAGCTGAAATGATAAAACTTATAAAACATAGGAAGAAAAAACCTTTGTGACTCTGGATTAGGCACACATTTCTCAGATATGACACCAAAAGTATGGTCAATTTAAAAAAATTTGGTAAGTTGGACTTCACCAAAGTTAAAAACTTTCATTCTTCCAAAGATACCACTAAGAAAATAAAACGACATGCTACAAACTGAGTGAAAATATTTGCAAGTCATCTGATAAATGACATGTATACAAAATATATAAAGAACAACTCAACACGACTTAAAACAACCTATTAAAAGAGAAGCAAAAGATTCTAATAGACATTTCACCAAATATTTATCTGAAGATATACAAATGACAAAGGAGCACATGAAAAGATTCTCGACATCATTTTTTATCACAGAAATGCAAATTAAAATCATGAGATGCCACTATAGACCTATTAGAATGGCTATAATAAAAAAAATAACAATATCAAGTCTTGGCAAAGATGTGGAGAAACCAGAATCCTCATACACTGCTTTTGGGAACATACAACTACTATTCTAAGATAGTTTAGCAGTTTCTTAAAAAGTTAAACATGTACTTTCACCCACAAGACTCAGCAATTCCATTCCTAGGTATCTATACAATAGAAACGAAAACTTAGGTACAAAGACTTGTATGTGAATGTTCACAGCAGCATTATTCATACAGCCAAAAACTAAAGACAATCCAAATTTCCATCAACTGGTGAATGGACAAACAAAATAAGGTGTACAATAGTGTTGTTCAGCAACAAAAAGGGACAAATTACTGAAGTATGTTACAATATAGATGAACCTCAAAAACAATACGTTATGTGAAAGAAGCCAGACATCAAAGACTTTATAGTGAATGGTTCCATTTACATGAAATTTCCAGTAAAAGCAAATCTATAGAGACAGAAAACAGATCAGTGGTTACCTGGGGCTGGAGATGGGAGCAGGGATTGACTACAAACAAGTAACTTTTTGAGGTGATAGAAATTCTAAAACTGGATTGTGGTGATAATCACACAACTTTATAAATTTACGAAAAATCACTCTATATTTGCATGGGTACATTTTATGTCAATTATACCTCAATAACCCATGAATCCACAGTCTTACACTCAAAAAAAAAAAAAGGGAGAGGGGTAAGAAACTTTGCCACCATTGTAGATGACCATTATGCTAACTTCTTTTTTTTTTTTTTTTTTGAGACAGAGTCTCACTGTGTTGCCCGGGCTAGAATGCTGTGGCGTCATCCTAGCTCACAGCAACCTCAAACTCCTGGGCTCAAGCGATCCTTCTGCCTCAGCCTCCCAAGTAGCTGGGACTACAGGCATGCGCCACCATGGCCGGCTAATTTTTTTCTATGTATTTTTAGTTGTCCAATTAATTTATTTCTATTTTTAGTAGAGACGGGGTCTCGCTCTTGCTCAGGCTGGTTTCGAACTCCTGAGCTCAAACAATCCGCCCGCCTCGGCCTCCCAGAGAGCTAGGATTACAGGCATGAGCCACCGCGCCCGGCCATATGCTAACTTCTTACTCCAAAAATTAGTAATCAAAGCAAAAGAATCAAGCATCCACCTTGCTTTTTTTTTTTAGTCAAAATTGTAGTTAATTCCTAACTAACGAAGGAAAGCTTTATAGGAGAATACCATTAATAAGTGTAAAGGAAATGGTAAAATTAGAAAAATATTATTTTGTAAACCCCAATAAAATAACTGATTTAGGCAAGAATAATTTGTGTATGTTAATACCACTAAGCAAAAGGATTGAGGGGCCAGAATACTTTAATGGTGGCAAAGTATCACTTTGCAGATTATTTGCTCATTGTAAAGGGACAAACAAATCTTTCCACTGGAGAGATCTGATGGTCACCTCCTTAACCAGTGGGACAAACTTGGCTTCATTAATAGTGGAACAACCTGGCATCAATACTTCCTGAAGGGATACAATATGAAGTCCACAGCATCATTTATGAAACATTCTTGTCAAAAATATTTAACCTGAATCTAATTAAGCCTTTAGGCCAAAATCAGTTTACTCAAACACAGATAATAGAAGATTACTTACACCGCCTTGAAAAAGCAATCAGATAAATCTAATATGTGAAACATATTAGATTATTAAGACAACTGGCCCAGTCCCCTCAAAAAGTCACATAATAAAAAAATAAAAGTTGAGGGAATGATTTAAATTAGAAGAAACTAAACAGACTTAACAACCAAATTCATCATCTGAACCTTTATTGAATCCTGTTTTTAGAATATTAGCTATTAAAGATATTTTGAGAATAATTAAGGAAATTTTAATTGCTATTAATTTTCTTATGTGTGACAACGATAACATGGTACGAGAAAGAAATCCATGGTAAAATATTTAGGAAATCTATGCTAAAATATTTAGGGATAAAGTTGTCATGTTATATGCAACCTTACTGAAATGATTCAATACCACCTCTGTACACAAAAACACACGTGTGTACACACACACACACACACACATGCACACTCTTACACTTTGCCAACATTTGAATATATATAAATACAACTGTTGACTCCAAGTGGTGAGTATATGGATCTTCATGTAACATTATTTCAACTTTTCTACAGGTTTCATATATATAAAGTTTCATATAAATAAAGTTTCATAAATATAAAGTTGAAAAAAGGCAGAAGCCCTCAAGAACAAAGAGAAAGGGAGAGGAGAAAATAACCAGAAAATTCTAGAAGCTAAAAAGAACACGGACAAGATGACTTACTAAAGTAGAAAAAGCAATATCCTCTGCCAGTGTTGGAAAAAGCCAAGGAGCAATCTGATTGATATTATTTAGCTCTTAAAAAGTTAGGAATTTGTGGCACCAGATGCCTCTGGAAACTGGATTCATGTAAATGTTCAACAGTCTGTTTAAGGAGGAGCTGGATCTCCTAGACACCAGTCCCTCCCCTCCACAAAATAGACAGAGCAGGTCGTGCTAAAGGGAGCAAGAGAAAGGCAAAATAATCATTTTTCTTAAGAAGAAATCAACAAATTATGCTGAAAACTAAAGAAAAATTTAAAAGTTGTATCATAAACATGGTCTTCAGAGATATGGAGGTAAAGGCTAAGATCAGTAAGAGCTGAAAGCAAAGGTAATGAGGGGCAGGAGTGAACTGCAGTTTTTCACTAAACACCTTATATCATATCTGGCTTTAAATCGTGTATATATAATCTTGACAAAATTTAAAATGAAGTAAAAAGTATAATAGGAATAACAAAAAGAGATATAGTTCATTCATATTATACAGTGTGTTTTTCTACAATTATCTATAATAAATGTACAGAGTACTATTCTCAAAAATAACTTAATATTTGCTCAGATAAGATATAAATTATTTTAAATATTTGTCAAAATAAAGCCATTTAAATTAATAAATACAACAAAATAAATAAATATAACAAAAATTGTAACATTTGGATTCCTCTAACCTTATAAATATGTCATTCATAGTTACATAATCCCACTTTAGAATTCCTATTTAATATTTATAAAAATCACAGAAAAAATCATTTAATCATTAATCATTAATCATTTAAACATTTATTCAGCAACCATTATGTGCTAAAAGAGTAATAAGCACTGAAATACAGAAATTAAAGATGAAAATCTCCTATATGAAAGAGCTCACATCCTAAAGCAATAGGTAAAAAAATAATTAAAATATGATTGATACTGTGATAAATGAATTTATTACATCTGCTGCAGAACATCTTTTAGGGTGGTATAATATTAGTTAAAAACCCAAGGTCTGGGGTTAGATGGTCAAGGTTCAAACCTAATGTCCACCACTGACTTGGGTGTATAGGCTTGAACAAATTACTTAACTTCTTCATGCCTCAGATTAGTCTGTCTTCTGCCAGGACCCATGAAACAGTAAGAGGCCAACCTATTAGCTTGTAAGTTTAAAATATAAAATCAAATCCCAGACCTGACAAAAACAGTGGTTCTAAATCCAACTTTACCAATAATTATATTCAATGTGAATGGTTTAAATACCCCAAATAAAAGGCAAAGATTATCTTAATAGATAAAAAAGTAAGATTCAACTATACACTAACATATTGGGACCCGAACATATGAATTCAGGAGGTTGTGGGGGGGCACAATTCAGCTTATAACAAGCCTGTTTATTAATCCTTCTCTATTCAACCTGGCTGTCCTCTGTCTGCACGTACAGCAGCCAGGGTATTTATATAAAGTGCAAATCTGCTCATTTATATCATATCAGTAATCTGCTGAAAACACTTCAAGGGCACTCTATTGCTCTAAAGATAAAGATCAAAATTCTCTAAGTAGCTTTCAATACTCTTTATGATCTGCTCCCTGCTTATCTCACTGGTATTATCTCCAGCTACTTCTCTCTTACACTCCAAGCTACAGTAGTTCCCCACATATACGTGTGTGTGTATATATTTTTTTTGCTACTCTGCATTCATAACAGATTCCCATAATTAAAATCATTTATGAAAATTACTGTCTTTGTTTTCAGAGGCACCATATGCATAAAAGATTGTACATGAGATTTACCACTCTTTAACAGGCATTGTTTGGAGAGGTATCCTATGTTGAGTTTAAGAAATAGAATAAGAAACTGTAGAAAACTTGATGCAGATTTTTTCTTCTCACAGAATGTTATTCTCTGAGAATAATATTGAAACTATTTCAATAATTCTGAAATAAAATTAAATGAAGCTAAAGAATATTTAGAGCTTTGTAAAAAATCATAATATAAAGGGATAAATATAACTGATGTAAGCGGAATATTAATGCAATCACCCCCATTATTCCCATCACCTGTTAAGCTCATCCAGACATAAGCGCAGCGTTTCATAAGTTGTTAGAGCAATTTCACATTTCCTCTGCTTTACACGAATCAGTTCATTGTCTTTTTTGTTTCCATGTAAAACAGTGACTCTGAAATATCCCCAGGTGTCCAATTCATCCTTCCAGTTGTAGAGGACAGAAAGAGGAGCAACTATTAAGAACATCTAAAAGAAGAATAAAATTTTTTTTTATTTTTTTAAAAGATAAAGAACCCCAAAGTGAAATCCAGAATATTAATAGTCCTATTCCTTAATTTTGACACTCTAGTTAATAAGAATAAACACAAATGAGTGATTGGCTATATTTGGACATAGAAAACCCTCAAAAATACTTTGCTGCATAATTAGCTTTTTATTAGGACAAAATAGATACCTAACTTGTCCAAAGGAACAGCTCTTTTTATTTCCCCCTACCAAAAAGGCATTGAGAGATAAGAGAGAAGTAACTCTTGAAAAGAGAGAAAAGACTAAAATCAGGATCACAATAATAACTTCAAGTGCCAAGTGGTACTCTTAGATGAATGCATTCTTAGACAATTTATTCACACTTGAAAGGTTCTTAAATGTATGTGTGATATGTCATATCATACACACATACCTCAAACCCACCACTTTTTAATTTGTAACATCCAGTTCATTAAAGGGCCTTTTTCAAAGACTTCCAACATTAACTTTTCAGGATTCTGTTGTGATTCTGGCATTAGCATAATAAATATAAAGGAATTTATTTCTTTTCTATTTCATAAACTGTCTTTTAAAAATGCACATTGTTTTAAATGGACCAATACAAATTTATCTTCTGAGAATTTCATCAAAATTATAATTTTTATTTGGATTTACTTCTGGGAAATCCTATAGGATGTCACTAGTGAGCCCAATAAAAACTTTGAATTCCAGTTCAAATGACCAACTGAACACATGTATGTATTGATGCCAATAAAACAAAAGAACAAATACAAAAATAAATCCATAAAGGTATCAGAATGCCTGAAAGGGCGCTACCAGCAGATCAGAACAGTACAAGAGCAGATGAGAACTGGAATACCTGAAGAACTGAGTAATCCATCCTACATCTATGATAGAGAAAACTTCCCCCAAAAAACCAAATTTTCGTAGAGTAATCTTAAAACAATAAGCAAAACAAAACAACAACAACAACAAAAAAAAACTCGGCAGCTGAGGCAGTTGGAAGGACTGGGTCAAAAAAAATAATAGCCGTGTGATTTTAAGAAGGAACAGTTATATCAGTCATCTGCTTCGAAAAAGCTGATTCTAGCATCAGTACCCAAATTCCCCTACATAAATTACTAGATATATTTTTCTAAAGCAAAACTTATTTGGAAAAATTCTACGGTGAGTGTCAGGGTTGAGGGTAATTTTTGAATTTCAGGGATAAAGAAGAAGTCCTAAATACTGTCAAACAACAACAAAAAAGTCCTTTCCAAGGTAAAAAGTCAGCTTGACATTGGACCTCACCTACAATATGATGTGACAGAGGATACTAAAATGATTTTGGTCAAGAATAAAAGAAAATTTTGAATTAGAATTCTACAGGCAGATAATCTATCAATCAAGTATGAGAGCAATATATAAGCACACAAAATTTATAAAATAAGATTTAATTGAAAATATTGAGCAAAAACTGGTATAAAGACAGAAATAAACAAACTCAAAGTCACAGCAGGAAAATTTAATATATTTCTCTGCAGATCCAGTTGTCCAAATAGACAAAAAGAAAATCATAATAGTACTAAGAGTTTTAACATTGCAATTGACAATCATGATTAAATAGAAATATATAGAATGATGTGGCCATAATGACAAAAAATACACAATATAAGCAAACATTTCAAAACAACAGAGACTACACAATATCCAACATTAGAGCATTAAAAACACTTGACTGTGTCTTTAACCACAAAAAAAATATCAAGGCTATATTATCTGATGCAACAAAACTAGAAATCATCAACAGAGGCTAAGCCCTCCCATTACTCCTTGCCCTAATAATAACCATTTACTTGGAAATTTAAAAGCATCTCTTTTAAACTTGGGTAAAAAAGAATAAAAATTAGGGTCACAGATAATTTAGAAAAGACTAATGAAAACACTACATATAAAAAAAAAACACCTATGGAATGCAGCAAAAGTGGTACTCAAAAGAACATGTATAGCTTTTATGGAATTTATTAGAACACAAGAAAGACTGAAAATAAATGAATTAAGAAATCAACTGGGCCAGGCATGGTGGCTCATGCCTTAATCCCAGCACTTTGGAAGGCCAAGGTGAGAGGATCACTTGAGGTCAGGAGTTTGACTAGCCCAGGCAATATAGTGAAACCCTGTCTTCACAAAACAATTTTTTAAGTTAGCTGGGTATGGCAGCATGTGCCTGTAGGCCCTGCTACTCGGGAGGCTGAAGCAGCAGGATCACTTGAACCTAGGAGTTTGAGGCTGCAATGAGCTATGATCACACCACTACACTCCAGCTTGGGCAACAGAGCAAAACTTACCTCAAAACAAAGAAAAAGAAAGAAAGGAAAGAAAGGAAGAAGGAAGGAAGGAAGGGAGGAAGGAAGGAAGGAAGGAAGGAAGGAAGGAAGGAGGAGAAATTGAAAAAGGTAGAATAATAGCAGTATACGTTATAGCAAGGAGTTTACATATACAGTTGGCCCTCCATATCTATGGGTTTTACATCAGTGGATTCAACCAACCGAGGATTGAAAATATTTGAAAGAAAAATTGTGTCTGTATTGAACATGTACAGACTTTTTATCATTATTTCCCAAAGAATACAGTATAACAACTATTTACCTAGAACTTACATTGTATTGGTACTACAGGTAATCTAAAGATGATTTAAAGTATATGGGAGGAAGGCTGGGCGCGGTG